GGGTGCGGGGGAGGGCGCAGCGCCTCCCCCGCGATGCAAATCAAATATAGACAGCTCTGGGCTGCTTCTTTTCTTGATTGGTGTAATTGGGTGTCAAAGCTCAAAGTGAAGGTCTTATCATCCAACTTTGTGGCAGTGTCAATGCAAAGAAGATAGTCAGCAGAAGCAAAAGCAGAAGCAAAAAGCAAAAACAGAAGCAAAAAAGCAAAAGCAGAAGCAAAAGCAAAGGCAAAAGCAAAAAGCAAAAGCAAAAGGAAAAGCAAAAAGCAAAAGCAAACAGCAAAAAGCAAAAGCAGTAGGGTAAAAAACGTGAAAACATACCGGAAACATAGGGGTTCCAAGCTGAACGGAACTGACAGGATTGTATGTGCGGAGTTGTGCCTGTAAGATCTTCCTCACAGGTCAGTCCCCAAAAAATATACCAAAAACTCATCGATCCTGGATAGAAATCTTCCAAACAACACAAAGCCCGTCTAAGACCATCAGCTTGGTCAATGCTATTCCTCTCTCCGGTCCATTGCCATGGGTTTAGCCCTCCCGCTGTGGCGAGCTCTCTACGACACGCGCTCTGCGACGAAGAAAGGCGCAAGCGCCTCGACGGTCATCATCGTGACGCTGGGATCAATCTTCGGTGGAAGTGGAATCTGAATTCGATACCTTGGCGGGGCTGAGGAGAAACAAAGTGAAAGTTACAGACTAAGACAACATCCGAATGATTAGAGTAATGGCACACAAAGATGACAACATCCGTGGTCGGGCAATGTTGTTCCTGTATCACACACATCAAAGGGATTCAACGGGTAGTCCTGTTTCAATAGTCTTTCATCGTCGAAGGAAGGATTAGCGACATGTTTGAACCTGGCTTGTTATTGTGCCCATTTTGGAGAAAAGAGCTCCCAAGACCTGCGGCCCACTTTTGCCGATATGGACCCCATTCAGAACGGCAAAAGAAAGGGGAATGCCATGGGGCCCGAGTGGTGCGAGATCGCCCTGGTGAGTTGGCTGGGCCATTGCCCGTTTCTGTATGGCTGATGGGACCTGCAAACAACTGCAGTGAGCAACATTCTACGATTCTACTTCACATTTTATACAGGAACTACATGGAACTACAGAACAAACATGCAAAACGTGACACTGCAAATATCCGTGCTCATCTTTCCTCTGTTCAAAGATCGATGCCCAGAAAGACTCCATCTTCGCCGAGGCACTTGCCACCATGGGAGGTGTCAACGCCCACACGCATGCCCTCTTCAATATCAGTGGCGGAGACCTTCTCTCCCAAGCCAACCACAAACTTGGCAAATTCGCGAATTTTGATGACATACCTCAGTGTCTGACTGATGACTAAATCTCAATGTCTGGGTCGTGGCGACAACCGTGCTTGTGATTCCCAGTGAAAGCGTTCTCCGAGTCCTGGTGTGCTAAATCCTCTCGTCTCATTTGTAGACATTCTGCACCATCCCGTGTACGTCGACGTCTACCACGCATTATTTGCGTCTATATTACCTAGAATCTAGACACACAGCGGCTGCCGCAACCCAACAAAACAACCATCTGAGTCAAACAAAGTATCATTCTCGAACACTTTGGTATTAACACATTTCAAAGCCATCGAAGCTCGAAGCTAGCTCTCTCTCTCTCTCTCGCCGTCTCTCTCTCTCTCGCCCCGCATTGGTGAGTTTGCACTGAGACCCACTATTCAAGACCAGCGGTCACCACTAGCTTCTCTCTCTCTCTCTGTCTCCCTCCCTCCCTCTCTGTCTGAGACCTTCAACAGTGGGTCAATCTATGGGATTTTCCTACAGGGCATTACAGGGCTGTCCTTGCTGCCTTCTGTCCAGCGTGTTTTCAACGATTGAATATGATTGAGGCCTGCGCCTTCTGTCAAGCAACCTCTTCAATGCATTTCAACAAGCCCCCTCCCCTCATCAAGGAACGGAATACTGGATCTTGTTCAAACGCTTGGAAACCTGGACCCTGTGTTGGACAAGACATCCTCTACATATGTACAAGGCTATGCAATTTAGCTTATCTGCGCATATGCACAACAATGGAATTACATAATATATATATATATGCATATATACTATATATATACCAGTAACTTGAGAGGGGCCTCCAATGGACTACCCTACCTGTGGATCTACATGGAACACCCCGACAAGAATATCCTAAGGTATATAATTTTTGTAGTGTATGTATATGTATGTATACTGTATACTATGCATGTTCAATTTCGGATGGGCCCCAGTGCTGAAATCAGCCCAGCGGCTTGGTATCATCCGTTCCTGGGTCGATAATCTTTGTGACCCGCGCCACCTGCAGGGCCTGCTCCTGCCAGTCTAGCTGAGCCACTGCGTTCGGACATGTTGTTGGCAGGGATGTCGTGACGAACATGTGTTCTGTTGAGGTCTTCATGTCAAGGACTCTCTTGCATCCATGGCTGAATTACAGTATTCTATTCCATCACCGTTGAAGCTGGATGATGATGATGATGATGATGATGATGATGATGATGATGATGATGAT